TGTCTTGGAGCAAGGATCGCTTAAATAAGAACCTTTTTATTACTTTATTTCAAAGTACACGAGTATGCTCTATGCTTTTAAATAATTAAAATAAGTATTTTTCCCTCATAGCAATTGTTGATTTCTCCTATAAAGTATATTATAAAACATTCTCTCTCTCTTTCCTAATTTCATTTCAATAACACTTGTTCTTTTTCACTGAATACTTTTTAACTATTGTCCTTTAAAATAATAATAATAATTTTTCATAAAATAATAATAATTTTTCACTCATAAAAATTGTTTGATTTCGCTACCAAGATAAATTACAAAACATAGATCCCTATTCTATATATATATATATCTGCATCTGAAAACTCGCGGGAAGATTTCTCTTCATAAAATTTTATGATATAGAATTCTGATCGCCAATTGCACAGCTGTCAGACCTTTGATACTGTCGATGGCATGTATGTTTGTTAGTAGTTTGGAATCCACTTTAACCTGTAGGTCCGGGTCTGATTAGTATATTGTGTGCACAAAAATGTTCCTAGAGCTGCAAATGTTGATATTTGCCAGTAGTTTAATCTACCACTTTTAACACTTCCTACAGAAATACCAGCATAAATACCAGACAACATAGTCATATTATCGCCCAGATGAGCGCTAGTGGTCTGATGTGTAGGCTTCAAACCCGTAGCAGACGAGAGTCTGAGTGGTTCGATTCCACCTTCTGGGCGAGGGAGACATGGGGATGTTGAACACATGTTGTGAGTTTAGTGTACCTAGGTTTCCCTTTTATTCTATTTTGTAACAATGCTCGCTTTAAATGATTTGGAACGTTTTATTACCTTTCTTCAGAGTACAGTTGTTTATGCTGAATACTTTTTAACTGTTGTCCTTTAAATAATTATAATCAGTATTTTTCACTGCATTAGCTACCGAGATATACACTCATGTCCATAAATTAAGGATAATGAAGTTCAGGCAAAGAAAGAGACAGAAGCAAAATAAATTTGACTTATTTGTAAAGTCTATTTATTAAACAAAAGGTAAAGAGCAAAAAAGATGTTATATGTTTGACATAATTAATAAAAATTGCGATTTTTACTCCCTGGAGCAAATTTCAAAAAGAACCTATTTAAAAAAAACAGTATAACATGGTTAATATGATAGTTAATATGGAGTATGTCTCCCGGACGATGCATTACAGACCTTACAACGCCTAGGCATGCTGAGTATCAAATTATCAATCTGATCTTGGGAATATTACACCACTCATCAAGCAATGCCCTCCGAAGTTCCGGTTGGCAGGTGGGAGGGGGTTGACGGGCTGCAACGGACAAGCATATCCCACACATGCTCTATTGATTCAAGTCCGGTGAGTATGCTGGCCAATCCATACGGGTGATATCCTCCAATTGAAGGCATTCGTCTACAATGTTTGCACGGTGAGAACGGGCGTTGTCATCCATAAACAGAAATTCAGCACCCATGGCGTCCGAAACAAACGTACATGTTCTTCCAGAATGACATCCCGATAGACGTGGCCTGTCATCGTTACACTCTGAGCATGCAGGTCAGTTCTGGAACCAAGAATATTTCCTCCCCAAACGAACCATCCTGCACCACCGTAACAGTGTCGTTCAATGGTGTTCTCTTGGTAGTAACGGGTACCTGGCGCTCTCCATATGAAAGTCCGGCGAGAATCAGACTACAAACTAAACCTGGACTCGTCGGAAAACATCACACCAGACCACTGTTGCGGTGTCCACAATGCATGCTCCCTACTCCAGGTTAATCGCAGACGACAGTGAGTTGCGGTAAGTTTAAGACATCTGACAGGCCTACGAGCATATAGACCAATGTGCCCTAAGCGTCTCTACACGGTCTGCCTTGAAACTGTCGTACCGGTAGCTGAAGAGGGCTGACGAGACAGGTCTGATGCTGTGCTCCGTCTGTTTCTTTTGGCAGTAACTGCTAAATACCGGTCCTCATTCGGCGTTGTAACTCGGGCGGCGACCTGTGCTGTAATATCTACTCACATTACCATCATCTTGGAATCGTTGCCAAAGCCTGGAGATGACACTCTGGGCGATTCCAAGTTCCTCGGATACTTCCGCTTGTGAACAATTTTACTTCTTTGCCCCCATTCCTTATATACCCCTCTCCTACACTCTCGTCATTGTGACTTACTATCCGCGCCATATGGTGGTTTCCTGTAATTTTCATATTCTTCTACAAGATGTGTGTGATAATTCTACAGGTGAAATTTTTATTTTAGAGTTCAATTTCTGTGTGATTCTGAATTATCCTTAATTTATGGACATAGTGTATTATAAAATGTAGATTCCTATTATATACATATACATCCCTATTATATATATATACATATGAAAAGTCGTGTAAAGTTTTCTCTTCATAAAACTTAATGATATAGAAATCGGTTGCCCAATTTTAGAGCCCTCTGGACTTTGGTACTTCAGGTTAAAGTCCTGTCGGGGGGCATGTATGTTTGTTAGTTGTTCAAAATCCACTTTAAACTGTAGGTCCCGGTCTGATTAGCCTCAAGAGTGCACAAAAATGACCATAGAGTGACAAACCAAACCAAGCATCACGTTTACCTCATCCCCCTACACGGCAGTACTGTGTGCTGCGGCACTCATTTTGGTATTCCGTTGGTTTGCTCTCCGTTTTGGTATTCCTCCTGAGCAATTCCCGGGGCCCACACCCTGGGTTGTCCAAGGGTTTATTGATCTTTATCATTGCATATAGTTAAATTGAACTGTATTTCTATTTTTCGAATTCACGCAAGAAAAGTTTATTCGTCTTCTTCATTGGCGTAACAGCCGCATTGTGGGCCAAGGATCAAGAACGATTTCTATTAATTGTATTTATTTGGTTCTGAAGACTAAAAATGAATAATGAAATGTAAAACATCTACGTGGACTTTGTTATGAATAATAACAATGTAATAAATATCTACCATTTTTTTTTTTACATTTCTTGCAATAAATAACGTTGAAGCTCTTCTAGAAGGTCATAAAAATAAAAAACCAACAGAAAATTAAAATTAATGATACCGTAATTCCTTGGAAAGATAGTTACAAATTTTTTGGAGTTTACTTAACCAGCATCTCACATGGAAACAGAATTTCGAATATACTAAAAAAATATTCCGTGTGACTTTTAGAAAACATTTTTCTCTTATTAGTTGACTCTGTAGCATGAGCAGGAACAGTAAAATTCTTTTGACTACAGCCATTCTGCGATTCTATGATTACCTACGCATGTCCAGTCTGGTCTTAAGCCGCTTAAAGACTTCTTTAAGCAATTCTTGGAAAATTTCCCAATTCCGATAACCACGGAAAATCCGCAATCCAAGAAATTAAAATTCATGCTCCTAATAATAATACTTAGAGACCGCAGAATATTTTTTTTTAGTATTTTTTCAATTATTCTGAGCAATTTACCTAATAGTCAACTGTTTATATCTCGTTTTACGGGAGATGACGTCTCTCGAGGCTAGAAAGCTCCAGGAAACCAAATACCAACCAACCAAAATATTTTAAATCCTGTAATTTTAAGATATGCATTAACAAAGGGTTACGTTAAAATGTGCATACATTATTTGAGACATTAAAACGTAAGAAAGATTTATAAATGTCACACATGAGAAATAATTTGCCACCAACTGCGTGGAAAGTTGGCAAGTCCCTAAATCGGTCAAATTGAAAAAGATGGGTGTAATAGGAGAGAAAGATATTTTGAGAAGGGATATGAGATTTGTTCAATACCAAAATTAAAACATTTTTCAGTTCTAATTGTTCTTTGATTTCTTCGCCATGATTTCTAACGCAGCATATGAAAACTGGGAAATCAGAGACGTACATTTCTTTACACTCAAGTAAGAAGTATAAAAATGTTATTAAAATTAATGTTTTATATTTTATTTACAATAGTTTTTACTTGGAAAGTGAAGTTAGAGGTCATGATTGTAAGTAATAAAACAGTTTTTGCTAGTGAGAATTAAATTGTGTAATTATGTATAACAAAGTTTAAATTTTTATTCAATATACTATAGGTCTTATGCTGTACTCAATATATTTTTAAAGTGGCCAATGGAAAAAATAATGACATTTTTGCAACTTAGCACAATTAAGGGAATGTAATATTAAAAAAAAAAAAAAAAAACTACAATTTTATGATGGTTTAAAATCTAAATATTGATTTTAGATCTCTCTATTTCTCTTTGTTGGTTAGTGATCACCTTTTATCTTCTTCTTCTTCATTGGCGCCATAGACCAGGGTGGGCGAAGGACGTTTGCCTACTGGTAGATTGCGAGACAGCAGAGGTTTTTTATTTCCTGCTGGGTTGTCAGTCCTTCGCCTTACACTCTAATGCAATTTTAAACCGGTAACTACATGGTTTAAAGTGGATTCAGGACATTCGTTACTCGACACCGAAATCTGCGACATCGAGCACAGAGAGCACGTTGACTGTATTTTATCATCATATTTTTTATTTGCAATGTGTCATGTACTAGAGGTTTAAGTATGGTTTAATAAATAAAACAAAAATAATATTTAAAACTTCATTTAGATATCAGTTTAAATTTATTCTCTTTTGTATCAATTTTTGTAATTTTATTTTAATTTTTTACACAGATTTATAGAATGCATCTGTTTCTTTTCTTCAGTTTGCATTTGTTATGTAACAACTTTTCTTATTGAAACCAAACAACATTTTGAATTGAAAAACGAGTTATTATTTTTTTGGAATAGTTGTTATATTATATTTGTTGTAAGGAAACCCGTATTTCCGTACCTAACGACTGAATAATTATTCCTTAATACTTAATTATAATATAAATATAACACTGTGACATGACTCAAGCAAGAAATGCCAGTCATGGCATCAAATGCATATGTTGATATTTGCAAGTAGTTTATTTTACCACTTTTTTAACACTTACTACAGAAATACCAGCATAAATAACCAGACAAGCAACTTGATTGTCGCTCAGATGTGCGCCAGTGGTCTGGTGTGCGGGCTTCAAACCCGTAGCAGAGCGGTTCGATTCCACCTTATAGGCGTGGGAGTCATTGTGATGTTCAACTCATGTTGCGAGTTTAACATCTGTATGGAAACCTTTTTAATCTGTCTTGGAACAATCAGAACCCGAAACCTGTTGCACGAAGCACAGAGAGCAACTTGATTGCATTTTATCATCATACATTTTTATTAGTGATGTGTCATGTAATAGAAATGTAAATATGCTTTAATATGCATAACCAAAACAATATTTAAAACTTCAATTAGATATCAGTTTAAAATTATTCTCATTTCTATCGATTTTTGTAATTTTATTTTATTTGCTGCAACAGTGTAATAGAATGCATATCTCTTTTTAATACCATTTTGCATATGGTAAGAGGCAATTCTGGGTGTGAAATCAAACAACATTTAGAACTGAAAAACGTGTTATGATTTTTATGGATCAGATGTTTTATTATATTTATTGCAATGAAAACTGTATTTCAATAACTACCGATTGTATAACTATTCGTTAATAATTAATTAATCTTAGCACATGGAATGACACAATAAAGAAATATCAGTAATATCTAATGGAGATACTTGCAGGTAATTTAATCTACCACTTTTAATACTTGCTACAGAAATGCTCGTATAAGTACTAGAGAACAAGCTTGTAGTGTCAGATGAGCTCCAGTGGTCTGGTGTGCGGGCATCAACCCGTAGCTGATTAAAGTGAGAGTGGTTCAATTCCACCTTCTTTGCGAGGGAGTCATGCTGATGTTGAACACATGTTATGTGTTTAACCTTCCATAAACTCTCTTTTAATCTACTTTGTAATAATGCTCGTTAAAATTCATTTGGACCCTTTTATTAATTTTCTTCGTTGCACACTTGCTTATGCTGAATACTTTTTAACTATTGTTCTTAAAATAATTAAAATAAGTATTGTTCACATATAAATTATTTTCTCTCTCTATATATGTATGTATTTATATACATATATACCCATGTGTTCCTTTTTAATCTATTTTGAAACATAGCTCGCTAAAATTTACTTATATTTTTAAAATCTTAGTTTACATTTTTCGTTGTACACCTATTTATATATTGAATACTTTTTAATGTACTAAATATACACTTGTTCTTTTACAATGAATACTTTTTAACAATTGTCCTTTAAATACAAATATATTAATAATTTTTCACTCATAAAAATTGTTTGATTTCGCTACCAAGATAAATTACAAAACATAGACCCCTATTCTATACATATATATATATAACTACACCTGAAAAATCGAGTGAAGTTTTCTCTTCATAAATTTTTATGATATAGAATTCTGATTGCCAATTGCACAGCTCTCTGGTATTTGGTACTGGCGATGGCATGTATGTTTGTTAGTAGTTTGGAATGCACTTTAAACTGTAGGTCCTGGTCTGATTAGTATATGTGTGTACAAAAGGACCATAGAGCGACAAACCAAACCAAGCTTCGGAATTTCCCTCATCTACCTACACGGCACTACAGAATGCTGCGGCACTCATTTTGGGTATTCCTGCCATGAGGAATTCCCAATGTCATGGTTCCAAAACCATGCGGAATTTCTCAGTTCATGGTTCCGAGACCATGAGGAATTCCCACGGCCATGGTTACAAGTGTATGAGGGGTTTCCAAGGTCCACACCATGCGTTTGTCCTGGTGTTTATTGATTTTTTTTCAATTGCATAGAGTTAAATTCAACTGAATATCTGTTTTCAGTTACGAATTTACTTAAGAAAAGTTTATTCGCCTTCCTCTTTTTCATTGGCGCCACAGCCCTTTTGGAGGCCAATGCCGTCTACCTAGTGGCAGATCAAGAAAGATTTAGATTTATTCAGAATTATTTAGTTCTTAAGAATAATAATGAATTAAGACAATTTAAAACATCTAAGTGGATTTCGATGAATAGGAACGATATAGTGAGTATCTACCATTTTTTTCTTACTTTTATTACAATAAATGACGTTCAAATATAGCGTAATGTTCTGTTTACACACTTAAGCTTATATGTGGACGACACAGCAGTTGCTGTCTCCACCAAACCTATACACAAACTTTCTGGTAAATTAAATAATTATCTCACGCAGCTCGATGCTTGGCGTACGCGATGGAAAATTAGAATTAACATATACAAAACTGAAGATGTACTATTCACGAGACGCAGAATCCCTCCACCTGATATTTTCCTTTTTAATCAGCTCATTAAATGGACTAACAATATTAAATACTTAAGTGTATATTTTGATAGCAAAGTAACTTATTCTAATCATATTAAACATAAATATACTATTTCTCTACGCATGCTATATCTCTTTATTAATAGAAAATCCCTCTTATCCTTGGATATTAAACTACTTAATCAGTTACATGTATTATTTGCGCCCCATTATCATGTATGCTAGCCCAGTTTGGGGTTCTGCTGCAAGATACCACATTAACTACATCAGTAGACTTCAAAATAAAATTATAAGAATGATTACTGATTCTCTGTGGTATTTTAGAAATGATGACATTCGTCACAGTCTTGCCCTCCCTTCTATTCAAAATTTTATGCTCAAGTTTGCTGAAAAATTCTATGCAAATCTTGAACATGTTCCGAATGATGAAATTCGTAATCTCCCGAGATACGATTTTACTCTGCCGGAAAATGCTAAACGCCCCAGGGCGATTGTTTACAATTTTCAAAGTTTTTAGACGAATTCGTGATTTCGTCATCATTTCTACCTGTGGTTACCCTATCCTCCTGTGGAATCACTTTTTATTTTGCTGTTATACTGTTTTATATTATTCATTTTCTTCTTAGTATTTTTAATTCGGGGACATTTTCCTTAACTGCGTAGTAGTTCCTGTTTTTGATAACCATGTTTCTCCTAATTATCGCCATGTACTCATTTTGACCAGATGGTAGTTTAAGGCCCCCTGGGCACAAAGTACTCCGATAAACTGTAAAGACTGACGATGTTCTAGGTAGGTAATCAAAAAAATAAAACCAAAATACTAAAATTAACGCAAACTACAATTCATGGAAAAAAAATATTTAGGCATTTGCTAAAATAGCACCTCAAATGAATAAAAGCATTTCGAATATACTGAAAATAAATTCCTTGGGAATTTCAGAAAATCTTATCAATGAACACTGTAGAATGAGCAGGAACAATAAAATTCTTTTGTTCTACAGCTATTCTACGATTCTGTAATCACCTACGCATATGCAATATGGTCCTATGGCACTTAAAGACTTACTTAAGCAAGTTTTGAAAAACATAAAAAAATTAAAAATTAAGACATTAGTTCAAATTCCGATTTGATTCCATCACCATGATTTCTAAGCAGCATATGAAAACTGGACGATCAGAGAGACGCACATCTCTTTGCACTGATCTAAAAATATTAGCAAATTCAATGTTTATATTTTATTTACAGTAATATTTACTTTGAATGAGAAGTAAGAGCTCATAATAAAACAGTAATAAAACAAAGCAGCTGTTAGGAATGTAAAATAAATTGTATATTTATGTATAACAAAGTTTATGTTTTGTTCAATATAGGTTTCATTTTTGTATTCAATATATTTTTAAAGTGGCCAGTATTTAAAACAATAATGGAAAATTTTGCCTTTTAATACCATTATGGTAATGAGAGAATTAAAAACTACAATTTCATAGGATCGTTTTAAAATGTAAATATTGGTTTTAGATTTTAGATTCTTTGTTGAATAAGGATTACCTTTTCTTTTCTTATACATCTTCACTGGCACAACAGCCAATGGCGGGCCAAGGCCGTCTGCTTAGTGGCGGATTTCGAGACAGCAAATGTTTACTTTTTACAGTATTTGGTTTTCAGTCCTACGCCAAACAAAATTGAAGAAGTAGAAGGAGTTATTATTAATATTCTTACTGTAAAGCCGTTTGCCTAATAGCAGATTTCGAGATAGCAGATGTTTTTTTAAACGGTAAAGTTTTCAGCCCTACGCCTAACACTCTACTGTAAAATTAGACCGGAACCTACGGTTGACAGTGGATTCAGAACAATAACAAACAACCATGTCACGCTGGGACTCGAACCGAAACCTGTGGCATAGAGTACACATAGTTAATTGATTACATTTTATACATATATCTTTTATACATATATACACAAATATCTTTTTATTTGTAATGTGTCATGTAGTAGAGATTTAAATATGTTCAATATACAAAATCAAAATATTATTAAAAATTTCATTTCGACACCAGTTTCAAATTATTCTCATTTGCATCGATTTTTGTAATTTTATTTTATTTTCTAGCACAGTGTAATAGAATGCGGTTTTTTTTACACCATTTGGCATATGTTATATAACAACTCTTGGTAATGAAATCAAACAACATTGAGGACTGAAAAACGTGATAAAACCTTTCATAGATTTAACTTTATAATTTTATAGATAACGTTTCAGTCGCTAATTCATTGCAAGGAACCCGTATTTCCATATCTACACTGAATAATTCTTCTTCTTTAAAAATTCAGAAATTAATTAATTATTCTTATTAATTAATTATTCTTCATTAATTAATTATTCTTATTTATTATTCAGACCGACTTAATAAATAATTAAACTATAGTATGCAGAAATGACTCAAGAAGGAAATGTCAGTCATGGCATCAATTGTAAATGGAGATACTTGCAGGTAGTTTAATCTACCACTTTTAACACTTGCTACAGAAATACCAGTATAAATACCAGACAACCAACTTGTAGTGTCGCCCAGATGAGCGCCAGTGGTCTGGTGGGCGGGCGTCGAACCCGTAGCTGATGAGAATCAGAGTGGTTCGATTCCACCTTCTGGGCGAGGGTGTCATGGTGATGTTGAACACATGCTGTGTGTTTACATTCCATGAGCACCTTTTAGTTTATTTTGAAACAATGCTCGCTTAAATTTATTTGGAACTTTTTGTTACTTTAGTAGTACACTTGATTATGCTGAAAACTTTTACTTTTAAATTTTATAAGTTAAAATTTTATAAGTTATACAA